TTCGAAATTCGACCGACAACGCTTGACAGGTGATAACCTTCGTGATTTCATAATCTCTGAGATAGGGACATATGGTCTTGAAGTGTTCAGTTCTCGAGATATAGGGCGTTGAAGTTGAGAAATTAAAATAGTTTTTTCTCGATATCTCATGAAAAATTGAATATAATGCATTCAAATTCGGTATATGGTTTGATCTTCCAATGGTTAATTTTTTGACCAGAAAGACATTCCGAGAATTTTATCCAGAGGTGCGCTACAGAGGGTTGTGATAACTTTTCCGCACATATTTTCTACGCCACTGATGAAATTTCAATTATTTCTAATTTCTCGAATTGATTGGTCAATTATGTTGAAAAAGTGCATCACCTTCAACTAAGCTAAAATGAACAGTTATCGAGATATTTGACCCAAAATAGAAGTTTGCATAGTAATTTTTCATCTTCCCCAGTATTAGAAAATTACGAACATTTTTGTTCTCTCTTTATGCGTGGAATAACTATTTCTGTTCAGCTATAGCATGAGATCTGAATAGTATCTAATCTACTCAACACCAGAAAAATATTTTTGCAATTTTCTACTACTGAAAATGATGAATTATTACTATGCAATCTTCTATTTTGGGTCGAATATCTCGAAAACTGTTCATTATCTGTTATGTTAACAGAGATCCCAATGATACCCTTCGAATTTAGGACACGCTGTACAGTAAAACACATTCAGATCAAGTAACCTCCCATCAGGAACAATGCATTTTGTTATTCACATTATGAATAAACATATGATTATTATTGATTATCGGAATATTCTGATTATTTTGTACAAGTATACAGTGCAAAGTGTGAAAAACACATTATTCGTTATGGAGAAGATGTGATTTTCTAGTCCTAGAAGATTTGCGCCTGAACAGCGAGAATATTACTCAGATCAATTTCATCATGTTCTCCATCAATTCATGACAAGAAATCGATCCCTCTGAGAAATACATAATTTATTTGAAACGAGGAAAATCGAAGAGTAGTTTCCTATATGATATAAATGTTCAGTAAATATTGCAAAATAATCAATCTCACTAATTTCAGGTACCAGTTAATGATAAAACTAATATCTCATGACTAGATATAACTTATGCAATATATAAAAACCTCTGCAGAAACATCTGGGTCCAAGGACACTTATTTGAGCTGGACTAACACCATAAAGTAGGTAACCACTGCACCAAGTACCTATTGACAAATCACAAAAAACAATCAATACATCATTTCTGCTGAAGATGCAACTGATGATAATTTGAAATCAGTTATTAATACACCAAGGTTGTGAGGAATATCATCATTACCCAGGGAACCATGTTATATCCCAAAGAATCAGCGGAGGGGTATAAGGTCCCGTAATAATATTCTTTACTACCAAGGTGTATATTAATTTATTCCCACCACAAGCAATACATTTCAATCATTTTATTCAGGTGAAACTGAAATATAAACCTATTTTCACTCCTTTTCGATTCTGATAAAAATCTACGATCCATGATAATGACAGCATCTGACAAGTCGTTATTGATAGATGTCATTCCTGCGAATGTCGCATAGGAACCGTGAATTTGGGTTGGTTATAACAGGGGTGACTATGTCTTTATTGGCTAGTGGTTCATTGAATGATGAAAAATACCTTGGTAGTAAAAACATACTTCACCCCTCGGGCAGGAGTAAATAATGGTTACGAACGAACGACTACGAAGGCCGACTTTGATAACCCATATCGATTATCGTATCTTGGAATCACAAATACCTAGTAAAGATTCTTTGAACGATGTATAGGAGATATGTAACAAGCCAGTATTGAAAGGATTGGGGGTATACTTGTCGTGAATCTGTTGTGTTCCCGACTGTCACTCATTCTGTGGAGCACGCGAATGTTGCGAATCAAACAGAGTCACTGTTGATTCGAACGAAACATACTACTTTTTCTGCAATAGAAATTAATGACATCTGATTGATAGAATATAAGTGGAGGTACTACTATTTTGACTCACTTGAGCATGTCACTATCGAAGCAGCTTTCATATCAGCTGTCATCCGACATACTTTGAGTGTCTAGAAGGTTAAGGTGACGTTAAACTCCCACATACTCTTAGTTCCTAGGACTTTTACTTCATCTCCACCTCCAAGACACTAAAGGTGTTGCATACTGATCATTTCATTATGTCGGTAAAAAAAAAGTCTACTTCAAGAGCTAATCTGGGGAAAAAATGGACGATTCTTCAGTCGACTGCAGAAAAAACACATTTTCACTGTGACGGGAAAAAGTTTGAAATTCCATCTCTGTTGACAGGTTATAGAATGTCACTTTCCATAAATTCCCCTTTTTCTTACGATAAAGAAGTTGGTACTTTTTTTCCAGATATATATCACATATGTATAAGCACACTGTTGATGGCTTTTGATATGCTATAGTTCCGAAAATTAAGCCAATACCACGGTCTCCGAGAAAGAATTGCCTTTTATTTTTTATTCGACTTCGCCGTTACGTGAATTTCTAAATTATCACTGAACAAGTTTATTCAAACATAATAATAATTATGCGTACAGCAATGGCATCTTGGGGTGTTGAAGGCGAGTTCGAAATGAAGGTTGTCTTAAGTATTTTGGAAACTGCTAGTGATAAGACAACAAAATTTTGCACATGTTTGAGTGTCACCTTATATTTTGACTCCTACTCACAGCTTCAACTATACGAGGTGAAAAAACCTGCCAATATGAAAGTCGTAAGGTTTGTTTGAACTATCTTTTGGCACTCCTCGAATAAACAAATGCAAATCGCCAAATGAAATATAAAGTCCACATCAGTTCGTTCTGGAAGATGATTTTCTTCTGTTCACAAAAACATAGCGTGTCTACGTGGGTTGAGAAAAATGGTAATAAGTATTTTATGAATAATTTCCATGATCTGAGAGATTCGATCATCGAATATGATTCTTCTCTCAGTAGGTATGTCAACAACATTAATTTTGCTCAAAAGTAGGCATTTTCGACAATCGAAAGTTGTTATTGAAAAAAGTTTACTGGAATTGGAAACCATGTTTGAATATCTTATAATATCTATGCACGAAGGGAATCAGGTTCAAAAATTTTTCACAATTTGAATAGAGAGTTTTTGACATACAACTGTAAAAATTCGAAATCTGATATTTACAGTCTTGGTTTAGGCCTTGCAGAAGTTCTTATGAATAACTACGTCATTTCGTCAAATCGATAATACATCAGTTTCCCATATAAATCAAGCAGAAATTATTGTTGAAAACAGTCAAACATGATTTTCATCGTAGATAGATCTAATTATATATTTGAACATAGATTTTAATTATAGTGAAGTTTTCTCTATAATAATTCTCGATATTATCAGGAATGAAGGTACTATATAGGGCAAACTTAACATTTCTTGGAATACCTCGTACATGACTGGAGAAATAAGATATCTGATATTTGAATTTTTTCAAGCCATGCTGAACATTCCATGAAAAACCCTTTTCATCGTGAAATTCGTAATAAAAAAGTTTTCCGTATGTAGCCGCAACTCAAATAGACACGCTGTATAGTTTGCTGATGTTTTCTTGATAAGTATTCGCCTGAATTTTTGCTGCACTACTGAAATGCCTGAAATATTCACGTATAAGTGAACAATGGCTTTAGAATTGGGGAAACATTAGCAAACCATATACACATATTTGTGAACAAGAAAAAAAAATCTTTCACTAGAAAAACTGAAAACTGTCGAGATGTCCATAATTCCTGGTCACACTGACGAAAATGGCATGAACAAAAAGTTGTTTACCATGCCTCTGATCAGAATTCCGAAATATTCTTAACATTTCTCAACTGAGCATAAAGAGTTGGGTACTTGGTTATTTCATCACAAAGGGTTTCGAAAATATTTACAATGAACCTTCATCTCGAGCTCGGCGCTTTTGGAAGAAGACATCTCTGAAGCTATATTTATACAAAGTGTCCCAGAACAAACTACCATAAATTGTACAGGGTGAAAAAGATACTGTAATAGGCCGATTGAAATCAACTCAGCTCATACGAAACTATATCGTTGAGCCATAAGAGGGTGTTGAAGGAAAATTTCATTTCCAGAATATCCTCAATATTTCGTAATAGTTGAGAGGTACTGCTCTGAAATTCGTATGGCATTTCACTATGATGAATTGAGAATGAAAAACATGTCGTACCAATTCAATCAATGTACAGGAAGTTAGTTATTTTGCATTCTATTCGATAAAAATCAATGTGACTTTTTCCGATTGCGGCATGGATCACATTTTGATATTTTGAAGGATGACAGAATCAATTATCTCACTTTTTTCGAACAGGAGTTTTTTATAATTTCTATTACTTTTCGAGATGAATTCCAGAATTCATACCACTCAACAAAAAAGCTTGCGAATTGGTGAACATGATTATTGTGGTCAATAACTCAACACAAATGATGTAGAAACGAGCAAAACATGATAATTCTGACATCATAAACGAGTAGTATGGAGAAGCACCAAAATGAATTCTAATTCATCTCGAAAACCAAGGAAAACTATAGAATACTAGCAGTCAGAAGAAAGTGGGAGAATTGATTTTGTAATTTTCAACTCCCTGTATATTCATCGAATTGGAACGACATGTTGACCATGCACATTCACTATAGTGAATTTCCCTATCAATTTGGGAGTGGTACTTCACAAGGAATACGAAATATTGAAGAAGATCTGGGAATAAAATTGTTCTTCATCGCCCTATGACGGCTCAACTCAGTTTCTGGGACACCTTGTATACATTTTCTCTGCTATCCATATTCATAGTTACAGTCAAAATATCTTTATGTAATTCTTAAACACATTGTATATGTGAAGAAGCAGTTGCAATTTTACTCACAGAAGCAAATAGATCCAAGGAAATCGTGAAAAACTTGGCCCCAGATATAGACATAGCTTTCTGACATTGCTGACACACGATTTGAACAAAGGTCTTGGCTTCTTCTGAACCATCATACCAATGACAACTGTACGCTGCCTCCATTACCGAAGAGCTCTGGAAATAGATCATCCATAAACATCAAATTGTGGTGTTCTCAATGGTCTGGTTGAAATCCGTCATACATTTATGAAGAGCCAAATAATCTTTTCTTCAGTTAACACTTTCAGATAGCACAATGTCATTCATAGAACGTCCATAGGATATTCTTCTTGAATATCTTAATATCCTCAGAATATTCCCACAATATGATACAAATATTCTAGAGATGTTCTACGAATATCCGGGATGGACTGTTTCAAATATTCACAGATTATTCCTAGTGTATTTGGAAAGGAAGAAAATTGCAAGAAAGCTTGTTGGTGGATATGCGAACCTCCTTTGCTGTGATTGAATTCTTACAACACTGAATTAATGGGGTAATCAGCATTGGGACTAGAGAATAATGAAGGTTGTGTCAGGGTAAACAATATAAATATTGCTACGGAAATACAACAACATATATTCTTCTGAATATTCCCAGAATATTCGAAAATAGTATTTTCAGAATATTCAATGAGTATATCCTGGGAATATGTGGAATTGAATGTTCATGAAATATTCTTGGCAGAATGTGAATCATATTATCATTCTGAGAATATTTTATAGGAATATTCGAAAACAGGTATATTTGAAGATTGTCAGAATATTCGAAGAATATTTTGTGCTCTCTGCGTTTTGTCGAATTGTCGAGAGTATGCATCTCCCAAAGAATTCCCATCACGTGATATATTGAGATTCGTGTTTTTCGCGATGAAATTGTGGAGACTGAGTTTGATCAGGGAGTTTTGCTCTTGTCATTAGTGTACTAATTTAGGCCTCCAAGGAGGGTTTCGCTTATAATTCCAAGTTTTTTTGTGAGCGAATGCGGATGAATTCATAATGTATCACTGTGACCAATCCGACAATGTGGTTTATGAATGCATCGTGAATTATAGTATTTTGTCAACCATTCATGCACTCATGATACTTCCCCCTCCTAGTTAACTTTTGCTTTGATGGTAGTTCAAGTTCTTCACTTCGATTCGGATGAAGAAATATTTTTCAGAATGGTGCCTGGTTGCCATTTAGGAATTTTTGTTTCAATTTCGATGAAGGATCAAGTGATACTCATTTGTAACGTCTCTAGATAAGTTCTCCATACGAGATCAAAATTTTGAACAGAAGCATTCATCCAAAACAAAAATTGCGGATGATGATGTTTGAAATCTCATGTCGCAGGAACCTTCAGACAAAATTAATATTAACGTGCTCTCGTGATATCTCCAACGCTCCGTTTGCATCCAGAGAAGTTCTCTATCCAGAAAGAATAATTATGACTATTGAAGAAAATGTTATAGTGATGAACATTATTATTTGAATTGATATTTTTCAAAATTTTTCTGCAGCTGGAATAATCATCAGGAATTTTCAAATATCTGGAAAACTCTCAGGATTCATCAATTATAGAAAATATGGCTTTGGCAACCAAAGACTGAATGAACATTACTTGCCTTCGTCACCCATACATGGCAAGATTCATTGCACTAATTACCCCCCCTCCCTAGTTATCTTTTTAACAGCGGATGGGAGTTTGTCATATTGGAATCGACACATTTTTTTCATAAAATTGTGATCACCAGATCAGAAGATATGCTGGGTGCTGGGTTTTGAAATTGCAGCCCCCTGTATGTACCTGGTGAACAACTAAGAACGGCTGTCATATCTATCAATTTTCCAACTTTGATAGTTGATATCTTCCGTTGGCGAAAAGCTATCATGTTGCGGTTTCCGTTGGTCTGTTGAGATCTTTTCTCTCTATCACATCGTGTCATGTTATGCATACTATGAGATTTATCCTATCTCAGACTTGTATTATTATTCGGTGCTGAGATATGGCCGACAGCCGTTCTCAGTCGTTCACCCTGTACATTTCATGCTTTGTCAAGAAGATCTCTATTATATACGATAAAGTCTGATCTGACGTGACATGATTGTCGATAGTGATCTATACCTTTTCAACTTCAATTTCGGAAAAAGTAATCTCGATTTCAGAATTGGTTAGTTCGATTTCAGAAATGGTAAACTCAATTTCAGAATCGGTGAGATGAATTTCAGAAAAAGTTCATTCAATTTCAGAAATGGTAAGTTGTATTTCAGAATTGGTAGGTTCAATTTCAGAAAAAAATCCTTATATTTGTTCGAAATGTTTTCAATTGTATGTGAGATTAACAAACCATATTCACAATATTTAACTTGTCAAAAACAATTCAATAACATGATTATAATCTCAATTTAATCCACAGATGCCTTCCATCCGAATCGCTGGAAGATAATAACGTTGCACATGATTATGAGAATGCAAACACATTTGAGGTGCTATCATTTCCATTGAATGATCTGCACATTCCTCAAGACATCGCAGTCTGAATTCTATCTGGTTGAGCAAGCTCTTCGGGTCCCCAGCTATCACCCTTTGGCGATGCTCTTGCAAGAAGCTCTTCACTTCTGACTTGAAGGCACCCCATATATGTTCAATCTGATTCAACATAGGGCTCTCAAACATTCTTCATCCACTGTAAACAATCTTCTCTTTTGCAATTTAAAACATTACAAGCATATAAAAGGATTTCATCTTCTGAAATTGAACCTACCAATAATAATTCTGAAATACAACTTACCATTTCTGAAATTGAATGGACTTTTTCTGAAATTCATCTTACCGATTCTGAAATTGAGTTTACCATTTCTGAAATCGATTCAACCAATTCTGAAATCGAGATTACTTTTTCCGAAATATAACTCACCGATTCCGAAATTGAAGTTGAAAAGGTATAGTCGAAAATATCCTGTTAATGAGATTTGGAATATTTTTATGCGTCATTTTGTTTTGGTCGGATATTTTGGTTCACAAAATTCTGATTAGAGACATTTCAAATAGCTATCATTTGACCACGCACCTATTTCAACTGAAGACCACTGGCCATTATGGGAGATACAATTCTCTTATTCGAATCAAAATTAGTTGAACCACACAGTGTATCTTCGAGAAATCTGCAGTGTGATACTGATCCAGATCTTTCATATACAGCCAATAGAGAGTTGAAGTAATCACTGTACGTAGACCTCCACGTCGACGTTAACGTACGAAAAATAACGTTTACGTATTGTCGTTAAATTGAGTTGAAGTCGCCACTTTGGTCGTCACTGTCATCATAACGTAATAATACATTCTGTTTTCGGTTTGTATTGGTCACATTTGGTTGTGTGTTTAAATTCGAACATTTATCCCTGTCAAAATTAGAGGATTCCTTGATGCAGAACTCGTTGGTGATCTCGAATTTGATAATTTTTACTCATCGGCATATTTCGAGTATAGTTCGGTTAACGTACGTTGATATTTAGGGTATACGTGAAGGAACGTGAGATAACGTACACCCGTAAGCCCACTAACAACGCAAACGTGAAGAATTGGAAAATGCGCATGCGTAGCTGTCAATTTCTACGTTTACGTTAACGTTCATGACAACACTTCAACTCTCTATTACCTCGAGAATGAAGTAGAAAAAATATTTTACCAAAAATGAAAATGGAATGAATTGAATAGTCATGAAAGTGAAATAGCCACTACAATCAGAATTTAGATTTTGCTGAGTGATTATATAAACTCAAATACGATATCTTACCTCTTCGATCAGCCTGTTTCCAAAGATGCAGAAGTGGAAAACTTGGGCCAAAGAGTAAACCAAGTAACCAATCACACTAGCTGCATATGTGTTGACTCCATCAATCTAAGTGCACAAACAAAAATGTCTTAGAATTCCTTCAATATGCGTCAGTGAAACAGGAACCGATCACACCAGCTGTATACAGGGTGGTCCATGAGTAATTTCAATTCGTTAATATTGTATTATTATTAGTTGAATACATAAACCCGGAGTTATTTTCACACGAAGTTCATAAAATGAACAACAATTGCAGATTTCGGGAGAAAAACAATTACTCTCCTGGCTAATGCCACGCAGAACATTGAACTACATCCTCCCGGAATCTATTTATCGAGTCGTATGAACGAATACTGATACAAGTGTTTTTTTCCTGACTGCCTATTGATTTCGATCCAGCCAAGCCACGCTAGACACCCACAGACCGGTTTCGAGCTCTTTGACTCTCATCATTGCAGGGCAGTCTCAAGCCAGTAGTCCCAAGACCGCCGACTAAGCGTAGCCTAGCGGAACAAAAATCAAGTTGGCACGATTTTGTAACCATTTGAAGATTTTTTATACATAGCGGAAAACCCCAGTCACTACAAGTTACTATACAGACCGAATGATTCCATTTTTCTCTTGCTTCGTGAAGACAGGTTGTCCTCCATGTGACCTCACATGCATGCTTTTGTATTCATGAAACAGGGTTTCGTAAGGAATTTGGAATTCCTTGGACGCTTTGTTAATGAACCAGTTCGCATCAGCTGTCTTTTCTAGTGCTTTATCCACATTCTTATCGTTGTAGTTCTCATAACCCCAACTTCGCGTTTATAGATACGCCCCATTGCAGATTTTTGCACCCTTTGTGATAAACCAGACCTGAAATTCGAATTGAAATTGGTCTAGATTGAGGCAAACAACGAAAAGTCTCATCAAAGTGACCTCACATGACTTATTCAATAATAATTTTCGAACCAACGAATTTTGTGTCGAATTTGACATGAATTGAGATTGAGTTGAAAGCACTCCATTTTAAAAAACCAATATCGTGAGAAAAATAATAAAAACTCATGAGTTACTTCATAATTTTGGACAGTGTCCATTTGACGTCAGTTTGAAGTATTCTTATACAGTAATTTTCCTAACAAGTGCGAAAAGTGATTCTTTCCCGCACGCGACTGCCGTTGACATGAACGACGCAAAGCATCACCAACTACTTATACTTAGTGATAAATATCGAATCTTTGTTTTTCCCGCACTAGTGCAGAAATAAAATTCCCGCACTAGTGTGGTATACATTTCCCCATACTGTTGCGGAAAGAATACACTTCCAAAACTGAATTGCGTGCGGGTATAGGGTGAATCACGCACGCTTGTAGAAAAAAATATCTACAGGAATATTATAGCAGCTACTTACTGGTACGCTAGCACGACATAATAATGGCGGAACTCCACCCTTCGATTATAATTGCGATAAATTCGAATTGATTCAACAAAATATCACCAGTTGTCAAAGTGCCCCCATAAAATCAATTTCATCCCATTTGACGGTACATAAATTCCAGGAGGATTCAATTCTATGTTCTGCGTGGCATTAGCCACGAAAGTAATTGTTTTTCTTCCGAAGTCATTGCTGTTCATTTTATGAACATTGTGTGGAAATGACTTTGAGCTTTTTGTATTTATTCAACATTCCATTCCACTCCGTAGTTAATTATTAGTGTTAATAACTACTTCCTTATACCATAACTTCCTGTGTTCTACTAAAAGTTATTCTCAATTGAAGGAGACAAAAAAGAATAGACAATACTCACTTTTGTTGCCTGATACGCAAGTAAGGTCAACAGTACTGTAGAAGTCAACATATGCAGAAGCAAAGCTACACCATATGCATCTCCAATGGCAGTAACCAGCCTGACGCATGAAACAGATTTAATATTTATCATTATCACCGCAAGTGTCCATTTTCTTCCATACATGGAATAATATTATCAAAAAAGGTAACGCTATAACTAGTTATAAAATATTCTGTAATTCGTTGGTATGTATATTCATGTACAAGGATAGGGATATTGAGGAAACTGTTTTGAGCAATTGGGGAATAAAATTGGACAAAGCCGTTGTTGTGAACTTCCCAACATTTCATCACCCTGTATTGAACATAAACAAGAAGGTGTGAGCAACTAAAAGAATCATCTACTGTTTCCCTAATAATTCTGACAAGTTGTCAAATATCTCAAAGTTGATTAATATTTTCTGTAATCAATTTTTATAACGAATTGTCGAGAATTCGTAATAGAAAAGGAATCTTCTGGTCTACGCTACTCAACTCTTTACGGTCCTTCGAACCCTCCACCCCAATAACCCCATTACATGGTCGCTTCGACCTGGATTGGCAACCAGTGGGAGACTTATTTCCTGCACTCAAAACATCGGTCGCGAAGGTTTCAACTTGGAAGAAGTCGCTCTCTCGTCCCAGGTTATTGACAAAACATCAGACTTCAACCCCTCTCAGCTGCTGCGAAGAAGACGAAAGTAAGAAGTTTGCCGCCTGAATATCTGTCAGAGCCCGCGGATTCACGAGGTCAGAAGTTTATAATTTCTATTTGAACAGTTTGGCTATTGATTTGACTGACAGTTCTCAACGTCATTTTTGATAGCCCTCTGTATTTCACTTCAGATTGCTAATTTACATTGTTTGGACTACACGAGTAACATGGAAGATCTCGGCAGAAAACGAGGACGTTCCAGAGCAAACATCACAAGAATCGAAAATTTTGTTGCTGAACATGAAAACGGGGAAAATCTCAATAGTAATGAATTGGTTATCAGAGAAAACATGTAAATTAAGGCATTCAATGATAATTGTTCGATACAGGATGGCATATTGAAGACAGAGGTGAATCACAAATGATTGATAGGGAAACTGTAGAAGAGCGTTATGTTGCTGTTCACAGTAAAATTCGTACGCTGATTCAAAAAAAGGTGAATTTGATTCCCGCTACCGATGGGTTACATTGGGTTACAGAGGTTAAATTACCTTTCCAATTTTCACGAGCAGATATGATGATTGGAGATCTTTTTATGAATTGTTTCTTGCACTAGTTGACAAAAATTCGTACCTGGCCAATTCCCAAAAGTTTTTATACTTGAAATCTGTTCTTAAAAACGAACCCCTCTGCTTGATTAACGAACTTTCGATCACTGATGGAAATCACACGATCGCATTAGATATCTTGAAAAAACGATATGATAACAAATTAGCCATAATTGATTCTCACATAAAATCTCTTTTGGAGGTAGAGGTATCAAAGGAGAATCCTTCTTCAATAAGAGAATTTATTACAAAAATTGAACAACATTCTGATGCCCTGAAGGCTATGTCCGTACCAGTAGATTCATGGGACTTAATTTTAGTCTATATTTTCCAAAATAAACTGAACTTTCATACTCACAAGGCTTATGAATTAGAAAGGGACTCCGCCAAAGTTCCCAAATTGGAAGAATTCTTGGAATTTTCAGATAAGCGTTGTTCAGCTTTAGAATACGTCTCTCAGTCAGAAAATAAATTCAAACAGAATAAATATCCCAATCCACAAGCTTCTTACACAGTAACAAACAACTCGACACTCTCAAGCAAGGGAACGATAGTTCAATCATGCATATATTGCAAGGGAAAGAATCACTCGATTTATAAATGCTCACAATTCAGTTCACTATCTATACAACAAAAAAGAAATTTTGTCACAAAAAATGAATTGTGCTTCAAATGTTTGGGCACAAAACACACTGTGAATCAATGTACCTCAGATAGGTGTAGGTCATGTTCAGGTAGACATCACACGTTGCTACATGAAATCCCAACTCTCAATGATGATAGACAATCTCCTCAAGCAAATTCAATCTCCACAGAGAGCTTTTCTAATAAACAAACATTTCATGAAAATGATATCGCTAGCGCCGATTCAAACCCGCTTGCGCAGCCGCCAATTTCACCCAGTCGTTCGTCTGTCAATTGGTGTTTCAGTAACCAGAATAATAATAATCAAATTTTATTAGCCACAGCTCAAGAGAATCTGATTTCCGATTCGGGAACAAAGATAACAGCTCGCGCGCTCTTAGATTCTGCATCACAGACTACGTTCATTACTTCAGATATAACAAAACGTTAGAAGACTCAAACTCAGCAAGGTCATGTACAGGTTTCAGGAATATCCCAAGACACTACAATTGTCAATGAAATTGTGAATGTTATTATAGAATCTCAGTAGCCAAATCATTTTCAGGTAAAGGTACTTGCTCTCTTCCTCAAACTCGTATAGATATGTCTCGTTTGAATATTCCGACTGATTTGTTTATGGCTGACAAACATTTTGATATTCCTGGTCAAATTGATATCCTGATTGGAGCAGATCTGTATTATGAATTGATCGAACCTGGATTGATAAGATTAGGAAATGATTCACCAGTTTTACTTTTTAGTAAATTAGGATGGCTCTCAGGTGGCCCGATACTACTCCAACAGATTTGTAACATAAGTCTCACGTTATTTCCGCATACCCAAGAAATAAATGAACTGATACCCAAATTTTGGCAGCTTGCGGAAATATCTACTAAACGCATTTTTTCTCAGGAAGATCGAATATGTGGAAATATATTCTCTTCAATAACACGACGCACAGAAAATGGACACTTTCAGGTGTATCTACCTCTGACATCTGACATTTACTCATTGAATCTGGGGAATTCATATGAACTGGCTAAAAAACTGTCACATATGGAACAAATTGTGCTCCATTTCTTGCTACTAGATCACTTCTTCAGTTGGCAAATGATGGAAATTTTACCATCCCGCTAGCTTCAGAGGCACTTTCTGAACAATGTTATGTAGATGACATTTTAGGTGGTGCAGACACCTTGGAAAATTTGTTAAGGCTACGAGATGAACTCGTAGAGCTCTCATGTTCTGCAGGTTTGGAGTTACACAAATGGGTTTCAAATACCACAGAATTCACAAATTCGGATGAATTGAAAACTGATCCTGAATGAGATTTCCCTTCTGATCATTTGAACAAGATTTTAGGAATATCATGGAATCCACATTCTGATTCATTCAGAATCGCCACTAAGTTTCTCTTTCAAGATCAACCTCCAACCAAAGGAATGTTTTATCTTGCATCGCATCTCTGTTTGATCCCTTTGGTTTGATAGGTCCAGTAATAGTTCTCGCAAAAATCCTAATGCAAGAGATGTGGGTAAGGAAAATAGAATGGGATGAATTGTTACCCCCGATGTTGATAGATCAATGGAATATTTTTCATGACAATATTCCTATCCTCTCACAGTTATCTGTACCTCGATGGTTATTCTCAGAAGGAGACGCTAAGGAAATACAGTTGCACGGGTTTTCAGATGCATCCCTGTTGGCTCATGGTGCCTGTTTATATATTCGATTCATACATTCGAATGAGGTTCTATCGAAATTAATTTGTTCCAAATCCAGAGTTGCCCCATTGAGAACTATTTCCCTCCCTGAATTGGAACTGTGTGGTGCTCTTTTGTTTGCCAGACTAACTCACAAAATTCTGTCCATACTGACTAAAAAATTTTCAATGTCGTTCTCTAGACAGATTCTCAGATAACTCTCTGTTGGATCACTAATTCTCCTACTAGATGGACAATTTTTGTCGCAAACCGAGTTTCTGAAATCCAAGAAATAACCATAAATGCTTCGTTAGAAAATCTTGCTGATCACATATCACGAGGTTTATCTCCATCATCATTGATTAATTGCGAAATGTGGTGGTCTGGACCAAAATTTCTTTCAGATATCAGTAGTGATTTTGATCAACCCGCACCAATTGAAAATCCCTTGTCTCTACCAGAACAAAGATCAGTACTACCCCATGTTCATATTAATTCTAATATTTCCACAACTTTTTCACGATTTTCAAATTCCATTCGCATGCAACGGTCAATTGCGTACTGTATCAGATTTGTTGATAATTGTAAGCCCGATAACAAAAAACGAATCAATTCACTCATTGTTGCAGAAATTGCTCTTCTTTCTCACAATGAAACTCTTCCCAATGATTGTTCTATTCTGCCTTCAACACCTTTTTTCGATATAGAAGGCATACTACGTGTAGGTGGGAGGCTTGATGAAGCACCTCTACCGATCTCTCAAAAACATCCTATATTATTGCCCTCCAAAGATTACTTTGTCACATTCATCATCAGAAATGAACATATACGCCTCAATCACGCTGGACCACAAAATGTATTGTGTAATCTGTGAGGAAGTCATTAAAGATTGTGTGAGATGTCATCGTTTCAAAGCTAGACATGTCCAACAGCTCATGGGTGTGCTTCCTCCAGAACGTGTCTCTCCCACGAGAGCATTTTTCAATGTTGGTATCGATGGGAACACACAAATCACCAGAATGTAAAATCGCAGATCCGTAATCCATCAGAATATACATTTTCAAACCAGTAACTTAACAGAACAATATTTTATAGGAATCGTATTTATCTCTACTGTAGATGCACAGAACCGCAATTCCTCAAATCGTATTTTGTATACTATACATGAGCATACCAGACAATAACAGATTGCAAATGCGCAGATGTGTATTTTTCTATAATAGCAATATCGCAGATCCGCAAATATACAGAATCGAAAACTAACAAACCAACATCACAGCGGAATGATATTTCGTCAGAATCATAACAACACAGACCGTAATTTGTCAGAATCGCAGAATGACAGACCGCACATTAGCAGACCGTACTTTGTCAGAATCGAAATACAACAGACCGTTTATCGACAGAATAGTAAAATGTCAGAACCGTACATTGACAGAATAGCAAAAAATCAGAACAGCATATTCACAGAATCTCAAAATATCAGAACT